CATCCACAGCCTTTCCCTCGTCCACTAGGCGCGCCACCTGGTCATAGAAGGAGATCAGGTTGGTCAAGCAGGACCTGCCTTTCATGAACCTGTGCTGGCTGGGTCTGATCCCCTAGTTGTTCCGCACCTGCCTTGTGAGCGCCCTCAAGATGAACCACTCCATAATCTTCCCCGGCACCGAGGTCAGGCTGACAGGCCTGTAGTTCCCCGGATCCTCCTGGTCCTGGCACTAGGGCCTCTAGTTCCGCTGGGACACAGTGTAAGTGAAGTGGATAACTTTAGTCAATTCTGTAGCAGCTATTTAGAGCCTTGTGGTCTTACGGGGAAGCAGGAAGAACCATGTTATCTATTTGCCTGGGACAATTTATTTCCATTAATCCTAATGGAAATATGCTGCGGAGAGGCACTTTCTTCCACAGAAGACCCAAAACACAAAGCCTGAGTAGTACTAATGGAGTGGAGTTTTCTGCTTTCAGGGTGAGGAATCTCTGCATGCAGAGAAAAAATGCAGAAGTATATTCTTTCCCTTTCACTAATTTGTATCCTTGAAGCTTTATATTTGTAAAGTATCTGTGAACGAGAGTGAAATCAGTAGCATTATCAAAGTCTTGATTAGATTCTCAATGCTAGTGTACATGTAACTTTTTCCAGTTAAGGTGACATGACTGACAGGTTCCTTGGCAATGTGTCATATCCTACTTTGAACTTGAATAACTTTTTTTCATCTGTGGTTCTAAAAGCAGTATATTGATGTAAATGAAGCTTTTACAGGGGTTGATATTTACGTCAGGTAGCTGATCTCAGGTTGTTTTGGAAACATCAGGACTGGTGCTGTACATCCAGCTTTCTGTTCCATCAAGAAGCTAAGCCTTTTCTGAATTTCTGCCATGGGGGTAGAAGATAAAGAGGAAGAAAAACATTTTGCTCCTTCTACCTTGTGCTATTACTTTCTAAAATGTATGTTAAAAACAATCCTTAAGTGTGCTAGGAGACCAGGTCATGATTTTATTAAAATACGTTGGGGCGTGTTTTAATTGTTTAAGGCACAACCTAAAGTTGGCATTATTAGTCAATTAATATATCTCTTTATTGGATTGCAAACTAAATAATTTCTGCTTTTGTCTTTAGTTCTTGACCTGTGTGTCAAGAGTTCTACCTTGGATAATATATTAGTTAGATCAAAACTAGTGTTTGGTATGCTTTATGAAACAATAAAAAGTTTTGTAAGTGTTAACAGAGGCCTTCTGATAAATCTGACAAAATTAGAAATAGCTGATGCTCTTTTAAGGTCATGCTTCTGGTTTTATCTGCTGTGAAAGCGCATGCTCAAAAAAATTTGCTAACACGCATTCAGAAAGCATTTTACAAAATAATTGGCAGCGTTCAGGAAGAGCCTGTCTGTGCATAGCCTTCTTATGTTTTCAAATGTAGAGGTCACTGAGGTCCTCTTACATTTGTAGAAATAGTCTGTGTCCAGGAATGACAAGAACATTTGATTCCACCTTAATATAATGCTCTTTCAGTTTTCAGTGACTGGATAGCTTGCTCTTCTAAAGCAAATACCTCCTGTAGGGCCCCAGAAGTTAAATCACATACTTGAGTTATCCATTTTAATGAGGAATTTGGCAAGCCGCTGAAAACACTGTTTGCTCTGTGTGGGTATTTGCCCAGAGGAGTCCAGCTATGACCATCTAAGCATGGCTAGATGGCAACAGGGACCCACACTGACCAGCAAGCAGCTAGGATAAGCTTTCTAAAGGGTCTGAAGTACTGGGAAAGATAAGGTAACCTGTTCTACCTGGTGTGCAAAACCAGAGTCATAACTAGCAGCTTCCAGTAACTTTTCTGAGACTTTGGCTTTTTTGAGGGCTACAGTGATAGATATATTTTGGGACAAGCCCTTGTAGATTGCTTAAGAGGGTGAAGGCTGTTTGCCTCAGTGTTTGTTCTATGATGATACAGTCGAAGGAGTAACTATTTTAACAGGCAATCACTAGAGCCATTTTAAAGACTGGTAATTTAGATCTGCAAAGGCCCATTCCACTAATACATCGTTCCTTCATGCACTAGGTTTGCTGTGTCGTAATTGCCTTCCTTGCTTCCTGGAAGCTCTAACCAGTCTTTCCCAAGTTTCTGTCTTGCATTTTGCTTTTGAAAGTATCACACAGTTTTCTTCAAATCATCTGGTTTTAAGGCATTTTCCAATTGTAAAAATATTAAATTAAAAGGGCACTTCTGTATGTGTGATGGTACCTGGATTGGGGTGCCTTCGTAGGTTGGTCCACTAGGAAATCTGGGCCGGAGGTGACTTGGCAGGAAAGGAGGAGGAATGAGCAGCTTTGCTGAAAGAAGTAATTTGCTTTGGTTTTTCTCAATTGTGTTATTTACTTTTAAAACGTATGCTTTTATATAGGTATTTCCAGGTATCTTTTCTTCCCACACAGGATGTGTTTCTACTACTAGACATTTTATTTTTGCTTTCTTTTTGAAATGAGATGAAATAGTGCTACTGTGAAGCTATTCATAATGCTGTAGGTACTGTGACAGGTTATGTGTGAAGAAGACCTATTTTTTCATGCAGAGTGATACTAGCCTGCTTAAGAGCTTTATTTAAAAAAAGAAAAGTTGTTTCATTCAGTTAACCAAGCACTGAATGTAATAATGCTTTCTTGGTAAAACTGGATCAAGATGTACGTTTCAAGTCCATGTTTTGTGTAGCTTTAAGAATAGGATATGAATGGATGTGGTTTTTTTTTGTGGAAAGTTTTTTTCCCCTAACCCAAATTTGGGAGATGATTTTATTATGAGAAATAAAGTAACAAGGACATGGTGCTGAATTGCTAGTACTTCCAGATGTGTAATTACATCAGTGTGCATTTGGATGGTCGAAAATGCAGTATTTGATTGTGTTTCATAAAAGTTCAACTGTTTTGAAACTGAGAGGGGGTGGCATTTGGAGATTGGCTGCTGCATTACTGTACATGGAAATACACTTTTTTATGTATTTCTTTTTTATATATTTCTTTTCTTTTTTAATGCATCTGGGGTATTAGGTGGATAATCCTAGCAAATTAGGTTTTGAATAAAAGTGCCATCAGTTCTTTTCCTGTTGCATTGTTTACTTGAAGAGAGTGCAAGTTATTTTGAGAGAGAGGAAAAGGATTTTTTCTTTTCAATCTATGAGAGTTGAAATGAGCTGAAATGTACGAGGCTTTTTCCTCATACTCAAGAACCATGTAGAAGATCCTTGCGGTGCCTGAAAAGACGGAAACGGAGACACACAGAGCTAACTGAAGAGTTCATTGCATAAGGATACTTGATCACCTCTCTGGAGTGCTCTTATACGATTTAAATTTTTTTTTTGTTTTGTCAGTCTCCAGAGGTGTTTTGCACTTTATTTCTCTGAATTTTATGGCTTAGCTGTTGTTAGCTTGTTATAATCTTGATATTCTTTCTTTGCTATTCTTCATCAGCCTGATTTTTTTTCTATAAATTTCCTATCTGTCAATACAATAAATAATCAAAATCTACAGATTACTTTGCTTTTTATGTTTGTTAGTCTTTCCTTAAAAAAACCCACCACAAATGATGACTGTTTGGAATGTAAACATCCCTTTTTCATGGTATAAATGAGAACCACAGTTTGTGGCTCTCTTTACACTAGAGAAACCTGAAGTCACATGGACACTACACGTTTCCCTTCCTCTTGATATCAGCAGTCAATAAAGTAAACAGGCCGTTAGCATAGTTAACATAGGTTTTGAAGCAGTGACAAAGTGCTAAGGCTACCTGGTGAAAAGCTACCGTTATGAGAGCTACACTATTATTAAAGTGGTGGACAATTCTTTTGGAAAAATGCACAGGAGCAGACAGAGCTTTTATGTTGCCTGGATGTACTTCATTATTAAAGAGGAGATCAGACAATCTCTAAAGGTGCCTTTCTGGCATGCACTCTCTTTGTATTATAAAGATGATCCTAGTTTTAAAAGCACAAACGTGATCTTACTTCAGCTGTTATGACTGCAACTTCCTCTCTTCTTTTTCTTTTGCAGGAGCTGACAAGTGCTTTGATGCATGTGAAACTACACCTTTTTGTCCAGATTTTTACACTTGTGTTCTTCCCAACAGCAATATGGCTCTTTCTTCAGCTATTATCAATCACACCTATAAATGAATGGCTTTTAAAAGGGTATGTTTAAGCATGATGGAGTGAAATATATTTGTAGCTGTCTTAAAGGGCTGCTTATCATAACTGCAATGGATGTTTAAGGCTCATATTGTGAACAGGTTTTGCTGGTTGTTTTTGTGCTTCAGTACTTTGCTGTCGAAAACACAGTACATGCACAAGATTATCCTCTCAGGAACCTGGTCTCGTTTTTAGAAAGTCTGGTTAGTTAGTTTCATGTGTAGGGAGCTTGCAACAGGTTAGCTTTCTCTTTCACAAAACACAGCTGAAGTGCTGTGCTGGGTCTCAAGGAGGATGGGGAGGAAAGAAAAGGAATGCTGAAGGAAAAATGTAAGTTGGTGAATAATACTATGTATGCCACGTACTGGTGTTCCTTTCTGTTTTTAAACAGTCTGTATTGAGCATCTCTTGCATGTGTCAAGACTGGGGTTCAGTATCTGCTCCTAGCTAAATTATGGTGGGTAGGGGAGAAAAAAAGAGAGTAAAGTTTTTGTAGGAGGAGAACTTTGAGATGAGCAGAAGCTAAGTTACCATGCAAACAACGTGTTTTAAATCTTTGGTGTACTCTGCCAATGTGTGCTTCCAAAGCTGCATTGATGGTGCAGTAGTGATAGATGTTATGAAAAATCCAAAAAATAAAAAGCTTTTTTCAGAATCAAAGGTCAATACCTAGTGCCATGCAGCTATACTGGAATGTTTGAATGCAAAAATCAAGTATTTTAGAAAAATTCTTAAAGAATCCCCACTGTTTCTTACTGCTTGGTGGAACATTGTTTGGGGAGAGTTCCCTGTCTTAAAAGTTAAATGATAAAGCTGCTCATGTTTATGTTTTTACAAGGCCTAAACCTAAAAGAGCATTTTGTTTTGTTTTTAAGAGGCTTCTCTGGGTGTTCCACCAAGTGTGAAGTGGTCCAAATGATACTGAGAAGGTGAAATTGAGATGACATTGTTTAAAAGTTGGCGCTGTTTTGCGTAACAGTATTAGTACATCAAGGAAATAACAAGGTTGCTATACAGTGTCCGTTTGCGTTTGACTATTCATAGTAAAGGTTATTCTTTAAAGTAAAATCATTGTGAAGTTTTTCTTCAGCTGGAACAGAGACATGATTTTCCACAGTGAGCCACAATTCCCTCCTAATCAATGGGAGTCTCAGTTTCTGAAGTGCAAGGTGCAAGAGATTTTTGTGGGTTTTGTTCCTTGCAGCACTTTTCATCCCTTCTTTCCTATGACTCTTACGCCACTTTGGTTCTTAGTATTTAAGGGACATGATCTGTTACATGCACAAGTCTATGTGTATGTATATACATACGCATCTGTGAAACTGTGTGTAAAACTACATATGTATGTATTTTTTTAAAAAAAGAAACACTTGTATGTGTCTCCCTAAATGTGGAGCCTAAACCACCCTCATTTTTCATGAAGGTGTGCTGCCTGTGTTTTACCAGTGAGCTAGTATACTTACATATGTTTCAAGCTGTCTTGCAAGCACTTGTTCCTTGAGTACTATTTCTGTTTTGGCTGTGTTTTATCTTTTAAACTATGTAAACAGTTTATATGCAGTAACTTTATTGTATTGAGACTTCATTCAGCGAATGGACAGATTGAGGAGTTTAATGAAGGGAGATGGGTTTTTTGGGTTGGGTGTATTTTTGTTTTCGTGGTTTGTTGGGGTTTTTTGTTGTTTTTTTTTTTTAAAGAGTGCTTTCTTGATAAATACTGCTGTTCAGGACATGTTCAGAGCAGCAGCCATTGTGTGGCTCTGAAGGCATCCACTGAAATGGGAGTGTACCTTCAGTGCTATGCAGGTGCGGAAGATACTGAGCTCTGTCCTAATTCTAGGATAACACATTTTAAAGCAAGTACTTGTGTGGCACTGTATGGGTATGTGAAAGGAGAGCGAGGAGCAGATGAGAGGATCTGCCTGTGCCTTGGCTGCTCTGTGTAACCAGAAGTTCATCCTAATGCCCCACAGCTGTAGCTTTTATTCCCTAGAAACACTGAAGTACCCTAATGAAAACAGAGGGGAACAAGACAGGCTTTTGCAAAGTTACTTCCTTACCACACATTTAGCACAGCTTGTAGTGGGAGCTAGATGATAGTCCTCACAAAGGCCTGGAAAAATGGGCATATGCTCCCAAGGGCACCACTTTGGCAGTGTGGCTCCCCTGGGGACTGTAGTTCTCTACTACTCTCTACACAAGGTTATGCCTAAAAGGCACAGTCAAGCCCACAGTTAATTTCCCGCCTTGCTTCAGGATGAATGGTAGATTCTCCCATCCTCTGTAATGGTCTGTTTTGCTGTAAATGTTATTTGGGAGGCAGATTCAGATGGTTCCAGCTTTTCATCTGTGTTTCTACAGTTGGGGTTTTTTTTCCTCTCTGTCTGGGATTATATTAGGAGGTTTGTTGTTTTGCAATTATCTAAAATAGGGTAGAAACTGACATCATCCCAAGCATCTTTTAAGTTAATTTTTTGTTAGCTGACTAGGTTTTGCATTGACAGGATCTCTTTGAAAAGGAGCATGAAGCAACTTATTAACGTTTGCACAGATTCACCTCTTCTGCCATTCTTAGCATATAGCATTTACAACACAGGTGGTAAGGCATGAGATGCAAAGATCTGGTACGAGATACGGCTTTGGTAGTTCCATATCTAAAATATGTGACTTCTGACCCTACCACTCAGCTGTCTAATGTATTAGCAGAATAGGTATTATTTATCGCCCTTCAGCAAGTGTTTGGACCCCTGATGTTAGTGCTTATAGCATGGCCTGAACCAGTGGAATGTTTCAGTTGGTTGTTATCTATGGTAATCTGTTGGCCATTAGAGGAATTTTTTTGTATATTGGTAGTGTTACATGTAGTTGATACAAAGCAAGAAGAAAAAAAGCTGTCAAGTGCATGTTTCAATATACCTGATTAAAAGTATTTCCATTCAGTGTGTACCAGGCTTTTTTGTAGATGAATATTTTCATATGAAGAATATTCAAAACCATAGCTCGAAGTGATTTTTTTTTTTTTTTTAATTTCCAAATGTATTATTTTAAATTTGAGAGGATTCACAGAGATTGTGTTATTAAACCTTTCTCTTATAGTGTGGAAAATCCCTGCCAGCTGAGATGAATGCCCTTGCATACATTTCATACCTCTCTGGATAACTTTGAACTTGATCCACCCCTTATTAGAGCAGGTGAGAAGTTCAAGGAGCTGACTGCCAAGAGACCACGTAGAAGAGATAACAGTATCGCAACCGATCTAGGGGATGGACATCAGAATCGACATGTGTTTATCTGCTGTATATTTTCACTAATATTTCCAAACTTTAAACACAATTTCTTTTTCCTGTATTTCTTTTCTTTTCAATATGAGCTTATCCTAAGTGCTGACAACTCTCTGCTTCCATAGCTTACCTCACTGTAAGCTAAAGGTACAATGTACTTCCAAGGTGGTACTTGGCACTTTGTGATTGGATTTATGTAATGCTTACATTGGTTGTCTCTTTCCTTTTCCACAGTGTCTGTAGCTGACAAACTGAATACCATCATTGTCATTTACCTGTTTCTTCTATTTAAGCTTTTTGTATATTTGCAGCATATCAGTTGCACTACAGTATGCTCCCTATTGTTTGGATTTAATACTTTTGTTTGCTATAGCTTTTTGACACTGCGTTTTTCAGGGGCGGACTAACACAGTTTCAAGTGCAAAGAAGTTCACTGCTAGTAATTGGTCTGAACTAAAATACTGTCTCAGACTCCGGTACTTGAAAACATATGTAGATTCTATGCTTTTGGGGGTTTTGTAAACTGTTTTATTTCATGCCTTACTGTTCCTTCTAAGTCAACACAGTTTTTCTTCAGAAGGCCTGTTTTACTTAGTCCCAAATTTAATTGTAATCTATTGTGATATGTTCTTGTTGTTTCTAATTACACATTTGATACAACTAATTTTTGTAATAACCACTTTTTGTGGACTGTCTTTGAAAACAAAAGAAAGCTCACCATTTTTTCTTACTTTGCAATAGCTTTTACTATATACACCGATAATTTTGCTACACAAACAATGGAAAAAATGACAGGTGATAATGGCGTATTTTAGATTTCTAAAATGCAGGAGAAAGATTTTTGATGTGTTGATTAATGCAAGTAAGGTGGCTTTTCCAAGAAGTGAAAACATGCATAAAAATTAAACATTTGATGGCCTTTTAATGTTCAGGAAATAGAAAGCTTAATTGTGATTATTATTTTTTTTTTTTTAGTAAGGGTTGCTGAAAAACAAAGAATAGGGGGAACCTGAAATAGCAAGCATGGTTCTTCTTACTATTCTACTTAGCAGTAAAGGTTTTTATCACTGAACAGCTTTTTCAAGAAAATAGGGGTTTATACCCTTATTTTCTTTTTTTTCCAGATAGCTACAGGTATCTCAAAACATACTACAAACTTCACTACACCAGGACACGTGATGCAGTTATCTTTGTGATAGATGTGTAGATGTCTTTGTGAATGGTAGATACAGTACTACAGGTGGAGAAATGGAGTCATAGAGAGGTTAAGTGTTTGGGTTTTTAAATAGTGACGTGACTCTTCATTGTGGTGGTTGGTAAGAGATGGCATAGAAATCCTGCCAGCTGGTGCAGAGCTGTAACTGTGATGCAAACTGATTGGGTTGCACAGGTGATGATTGTTTCTACTCAGCTATTTGGTATTGTAAGTTTTAGGGTGCATAGTGTTTGCATCATGTGAGGAATGTAACATTTCTTTTTGTTGTTTTCAGCTTACAGACAGTAGGCTGCATGCCACCTCCTGTGTCTTCTGCAGTGATTTTAACCAAAGCTGTTGGTGGGAATGAGGTGAGTTTTCATTTTGTTCTTGATTGCTTTTTTTAAACAGAAGTTCAAACAAATATTTATTTATGATGAGCTCGTGTGGCAAAACATTGGTTGCAATGTGATGCTATTGTGGTTTGTAAAAACTTTTAGAATTGAAGCTTGGGTATTGTGTTGGTGTTGAATAAGGGAAATAGTGTTATCTGCTGGTATCGTTCAAACTGAAAGAAGCTCAGTTTTCTGAGGTGATAGAAAAGTTTCTGATAGAAATTGATGGTAGGAGATTTTGGCTTGTTGCTGCATTGTAATTCCTAACCGTATAATGTTCACATGCTGTGTACTGGTTATCCCGTAGATCATTAGCTTTGTGGCGAAGAACTGCCCTTGTGGTGATTGTTTGGATGGTGTTTAGTATTAAGAGGCCCTGTAGTAGGAGTTCCTCAAGCTTGAAGCTGCAAATGTAGCAAGTGATGATGGAGACATAAAAATTCATTTAAATCTTATATTGTTATTTGCGACTGCATGAAATGAAAATTCTGGGAACGTGGAATTCTCTGATAGTGAGGTAATGCAAAGTTCTCAACAGATAGGAAATGCCAGAATTGAAGTTGTATGTGCAAACTCAATTTGGTCACGTTATATTTCTGCCTTAAAATGGCACATGCTGATGCCATTTCAGACTCTTTCTTTATCCACAAAACACTTGCTATTTTCAGGAAGACCAGGTAGACTGCATTTAGGAAATTAATCCAGGTGTGCTGATTAATGAGGTTGTTTCCTTTAGATCTGCTTCCTCATAACTGGTGAAGGTGGATGAGACCTAGTAGGTGAGGAAAGGAGAGAATAACACTAAAAGAGATTAGTTTTAAAGCTAGGGCTGCTGGGGCACTGTTCTGGAGGGTTAGAGCCAAATCTTAATTCAGCCATAGGGCTTTTGCGTGAGGTTGGGTGAGTCACTTCAACCACATTTTTTAAATATGGCCATTAGGTGTACTTCTCATTTTCTGAGTTCAGGCTCTTGGGACCGATTAATGTCAGCTTTGAAAACACATGATAGCACTGAAATAGATTGAAGTTGTACTTTGTACTGACAAAGTGCTGTTTAATTGCTCTATCCTCTGAAGAGAGACCCAAAGCATCTCAAGTCAAGCATCTCTAATTACGGGCAATCCTGATGCACATCACTGTCTCCCAGTTTGCTACCTGAAAACAAGAATCATAAAATTGTCTGATGGAGGTGCTGTGGCGTAATTAGTTATTATAAGGAAATAATTCAGGTACATAATAGTGATCAACAGAGGAATGAGAAGTTTTCTAGTTATGATTCTAGATGTAGCTGCTGTAAATTATACAAAGATGCCACAGTGAGGCATCATGAAGTATGATGAAATGAAGTATTGAATGAGTGCTCACTCAACGTTAGCACTGTCTGTCCTATCCTTAGAACAAGGAGAAGATCCTCTGGAAAAAAATAAGGTGTGATTGGTTAGTTGAAGGCGATACCATACAGCATTTGTGTGCAGAAGTGAGAGAGGTACTTTAGTTTCTTGACCATTATAGTTAACCTTTTTATGGTAGTATTCTTCTGGGGTGATGAGGGTGTTCTCAATTTATACCAGCTGAAAAACAAACTTTATCATGTGAGGCTTGCATAAGTAATTGTATAAATCACTGACAAAGTAAGCTTGAACCTCTAATTCTTCTGTATCAAACCAGTGTTAGACAAATGTAAAAATGCATACCTTGTTAGCGATTTTTACAATAGAGTGAATCAAGAACTGGGTCTTGGGAATTGAGAGTTCTCAGTCAGGCTCTAGGAAGGTATGCAAAAGAAAAACACCCTGTAAACATGCTCAGTGCAGACAAAGTGTGTGGCAAATTTATTGCCAAACTTGAGGAATTTTCCAATGCAAACATATTTTTGGAATTTGATGCTTCTCTGTGTCCTGGTTTTGGCTGGGATAGAGTTAATTTTCCTCCTAGTAGCTGGTACAGTGCTGTGTTTTGGGTTTAGGATGAGAATAATACCATAACACACTGATGTTTTAGTTGTTGCTAATCAGTGTTTATACTAAGTGAAGGACTTTTCAGCTTCCCATGCTCTGCCAGCGAGGAGGTGCACAAGAAGCTGGGAGGGGGCACAGCCAGGACAGCTGACCCAAACTGGCCAAAGGGATACTCCATACCATATTCAGCATATAAACTGGGGGAAAGCTGGCCTGGGGGGGGCCCGCTGCTTGGGGACTGGCTGGGCGTCGGTCAGCAGGTGGTAAGCAGTTGCATCACTTGTTTTTCCTGGGTTTTGTTCCTCTCTCTTTTTGTTATTTTCCTTTTCATTACAATTTTGTTGTTATTATTACTATTTTACTTCATTTTATTTCAATCATTAAACTGTTCTTATCTCAACCCATGAGTTTTCTTACTTTTGCCCTTCCGATTCTCTCCCTCATCCCACCGGGGGGATGCAAATCACATCCCTCATGCTAGGGGAGAAGACCCTCTCACATCTCTCCTTGCCAAATTTCACCTAAGCTGTTATTGATGTATTTCTCTTTCTGACATGAGCAGAACAATGCATTTTTTCCCATTTTAATTTAAATCCATTCTGATATACGAAGAATTTAAACCTGGGAGTCAACTGGCAATATAAGTGATTGTACTGTGAGAGCATTTGTTCATAATAATGTCTCTTAAACTGCTTTTGCCTCGTCAAGTGTGTATCCCTTACCTAGAGAAATTGATTTGTCTCAAGGTGTATCTACACTGCATTAATATAGTATGGAGATAAATGAGCTTGCTCAGAAGCAATATAGTGAGGGAGCTCCACATGAGCTAATTAGTCTGAGAAGCGTCCTGCTGCTGTAGCATACAGGCACACCCTCGGTAAGTGCTCTGAAGACCTCTTTGATTTCTTGAAACACTGCACATGAGAGCTGTGGTAGTTGACTGTGTTATGACAGTGTAGAGGGTTTTAGGTTTTCTTTATCTAAGTAGAAGTGACTGTTGAATGCTAGTTTGGACTTGGGTTATTCTCAAAGAAATATCAGGCACTATGGCATGGTAGAAGTAGTACTCCCCTGGGGCTGAGGAAACATGGATACTAGTTTTAGCTCTGTCATTAACCTGTTGGGTAAAACAGAGTGGGGTATTGTGTCTCTGGTGTTAGCAGTAATGGATAATGGCAACTTTGTGAAGTGTTTGAAGATCAATGCTGAAAAGCCTTACGTAAGAGCTATATTTTATTGTGCTGGGACAGGGTGATTAAGTGTTTGGTCAAGTGCTTAGAAAGAGAGTCTACATCATTAGAAGCTACTTGGATGGGGGATTTTGCTGCATATCAATTGGAAAATTTGGTTGTGAGATGGTAAGAGGAAGACATTTTTGTTAATCTTACAAGGATCTGATTTTTTTAATTGATACATGCCTGAGGGCACAAAATAAAATGTTTTGCTTTTGTTGGCTAAGGAAGGTGTGGTCACCAAAGCTGGTACTAAGAATTCTGCTTAAACTGTGTTCATCGTTGAAAAAATTAATGTTCTGGGATTGTAAGTACAAACCCAGGTAAGCTAAAAATCTTTATTATTTAACTGTCAGTGTTTAATAGCAACTATACAATCTACCAGTGTTTGTTTTCCTGATGGTTCAAACACATGGTATATCAAAAAAGTATATCTAAGCTTTAAGTCCTCTTGGTCTGTGTATACGAATACAGCAGCTGAACAGTTACTCAAGAGTACAAATGTAAAATTGTCCAAAGCAAAAACAAGTCTTCCTTCTTACTATACGTCATTTGATCACCAACCCTGTGATCTATACCGCTTCCAAATTTCTAGTCTTAGCAGCTGTTAGGCGTGCCTTCCAGACTCTACCACGTTAGCCATTTGTATTACTTTGCAGTATGCCTGGTAGGTGAGCAGGTGGGCGCTGGTTTTGGTGGTTGGGGCATTCCAGAGGAAATAAATCTTTATCAAAAGCCCTTTGTCAGCAGTAGCCTTCCATTAATAAGGGAAGAAAATCAAGCCAGTTAGCACCTTTGCTTGCTGTAGCTGTGGCGTTATGGTGGGGAGAAGCATTATATTTGGAAGCCAAAAGGCTTCCAAGTCTTTTGGTGTTTGAGGGTGAAGATTAACATCTTCACTTAGTTCTGATGTGTGAGTGGTTTTGTGGCTTGTTTTAGGGGACTGGAAAAAGCCGCCTTCACAAGTCATAGGGATTATGGGGGGGGGGGGGGGGGAAGATCTCTGTAGCTTTATAAGAAAGAAATGGAAAGACAGCAAAGAGATAATCAGACTGAAAACCAGTAGCAGATTTTATAGGTATATTGGATTTTTTTGCCGTATCAGTGGCGGAGAAGTCCAGTGTTGGCATTAGCAGAGTGGAAGAACAAAAGATTCTAGCTGCAAAGAAAGTGGAGTGACTAGTTCACTCTCAGTACTGCTTGTTACATAAGACTTAAGACAGACTTTTCAAATCTCATTTCCTTACCTATTGCCATTGATGGCAGGGGCAGCAGCAGAGGTGTTCAGCTGTTCAAGACAGTGTTTCTGTACTGCTTCAGAATAACTTGTGTACTAGTAGTGATATAGGTACCATGTTTTGAAAATGTCTGATATGTGGCATTGTAAAGATATTTACCTGTGGTTCTTGGAAGAAGATATGGTGGAGATTAAAATTTCTGTCCAAAGATCAGCCTATATAATTCAGACTAGCTAGGAGCTAGTATCATTCTATCCAGAGGGGTGTTGGCAAATGAGAGATGTAAGCAGCGGGGAGGGAAACTCTCTGTGCTCTCTGAAAATCTTGGCTTTTGGAGGAGAGGAAGATGATTTATGGCTATTCTGTCTTTTGTTTTGGTGGAAGTAGCTGTTCTTGATGTGATGAGCCGAAATGCAACTTGTCTAGTAGGGCTACAAGTTCACACCTATTGACTCTGTGACCCGTTCTTGTGGGTCTTTGTATGATGTGTGGTTTGTTGTCTTAGCTCTTCTTTCAACTCTTGTTTCTTCTCTCTGTTTCTCCCTCTT